AATTATATGCATCTTATTCAAAAAAAAATAAAAAATAATCTGAACCTATAGACAGTGTAGTCATGAAAATTAAATGACATGGAAATACAAATCACAATTTGGTAAATAGGAAAAAATGACTTGCATTCACCCTTTAGCATATCAAACCCAAACTGAAGGTTTTTTAAGTTGTGCCAGTTCAGTTTACATGTTATGCATAAATCAACTCACACCGAAAGATAGATGACAAAATGGTAGTTATATCTACAAAACAGAGTTGCAGTCGAAGGCATGGAGGACATTAAACATAGGTGGGATGAATGTCAAGTCCATTTACCAGTGTTGCACTACAAATTAAATCTCAATGTCAAGGACATCTGATTTCCACGTATTTAAAAAATGATTCCAAATTCACATAAATATGAAGGAAACAAAAAATTGATTCCGAATTCACCCATACAACTAAATTTGATAAAAAAACAATGATATAATTTACAACAAGGGGAGGGACTTGTGGTGAAATATGAAATCAAAATTGCAAAAGGAAAAGGGTAAACGTAAAAAAAGTAAAAGATAAAAAAAAATATTAATAAAAAATCTATTTCAATGGCGTAAATTCGAAATTCCTCAAAATAACAAATAAAGTTCAGACATACATGTCCTTCCTCCATCTAATTTTACTTGAAAATAAAAATTTGGATTCTTGGGAGGATCTGCATAGTGACGGCAACATAGTGAAGGGTTTGATACTTAGCAGAAGTTGTGGAAACTTTATGGGTTTTTCTGTGTTTATATGCCAATCAGTAACTCGTTCCATTCACTTAAAATAGGCATTGACGGGTCATTAAAAATTGGACGGTTCGACTTGTTGTATTGGATTAGTTGCATGGTTAATTAATTAGATCACTCGGACCAAGGAGCAATTAACCGATTTTCGGACCGAACCAATCGATCCAATTTTCGGACGGTTCGACATGTTGCATGGTTAATTAATGTATTTGGTTAAATTGCGCTCGAGATTCCAAACCTTATGAGATCCCCAACATTAAATTTTAGTATGGAATGAGAGGTACTTTGGATAAAACCGTACCAATCAAAGTTTGTAATGTGGAGTATTAAATAATTTGATACATATTATTGGGTGTTGATACCCAATAAATTCGGATGATGACATTAAACCCTTTTTGTTTGGATTATGCTTCATAGGTTTTGGTCTATGAGTGAAGTGAAATATCGACACCACAATCGAACAAACCAACCCTACAACCTATTCGGGCCATTTGAAGTAACCTAATTTAATTAGTGTTACTCATGGGCCGACTCATTACCTTGGATTCTTGGAAGGCTTTTCGGTTGATAGCCCACTTATATATTTCCTATCGGGCCTTATTCTTTCTAACCTAAAAGCTCATACCTAATCCTTACCTTTATATACGTTGCCCCATTACTGTAGCAGTGTGTGCGAAATTGGTAGCCGTGTGTTTGAGAGAAAAGGCAGCGTCCCTTACTTCGTGCTTTTCGGTCTTGGCTTTGTGCTTGACTATACCTTCTCTTCTCCTTCTTCTCTAGACTTTGTGGCTGATTCTTGAGGCTACCTTATTCTCCACACCGTTGCCCTTAGTGGGAACTAGAGAGCAACCAGTTTTGGGAGGTTCAGTTGGGATTGGGTTTGTTGATTGTGGCGGTCGATTGTCGTTAATTGAGCCTGGTTTCTTGGTTGATTGGACTCATTTTTTTCATTTTTTTACTCCCTTGAGTCATCAAAAGATTATATGTTTTTGAAATGTTTGATCAATATTATGCCATTCTTGCATTCTGTTCACAGCATAAAAAAGCCTAACGAACAATTTAAAGTCGTAAACAGTTAAAAACTGTTTTATTTTTTTAATTTTTCCTTGAAATTCTATGTTAAAAATGTAGTAGGACTTTTAATTATTTTTTCTTAAAGAAAAGAATAAAAAATTATTAGTCAAGGTGATCAACTTAATAA